TATATATATATATATAAAGACGTTACAAAGACCTTTTTTGTAAATAAAGATAATCTACCGAAATCCAAAACTTTTACGGTAAAACTCCAAAAATGGTAGACATTACTGTTCGATTTGTACACATTTGATCACCGTTTTGTTTTTGTTTTTGTTTTTGTTTTTTTTTTTTGTCTATATTTGTCTTTTCAACTTGTTTAATTGTACACATTCAATCCTTATGGACGGCTACTCCAGGTAAACCGGAAAACATGACTTAATAGAGTAATATATTTCTCACTTGTACAAATTTAGTATTTAATATTTTTTTTATTGCAAAATAAGTCATTGTTGTTTTGTACACATTCAACACTTATGAACGGTTTTTTTCCTCACGACATCGTGCATAGGACAATCATTAACAATCTTTATGTGTGAACGTTTTTTTTATAAAATCGTAAATAAAAATATATTACTTTTTAACGGGAGTAATTAAACGAAAGTTGTAGTAGACTTAAATATGAACGCGTTGATATAAAGATTGTTAAAATCTGAGATCGTATGAAGAAATTACTACGTTAAGAACACTAGACCTAAACCAAACCACAAAACCTAAGAAACCAAATAGCAGAGGTCGCAGTGCCTATAAGCATCAACAACCCCAAACACCTCATTAATGATTGTCCCACATAGGATGTCGTGAGAAAACCTAAAGAAACCAGTGATAAATATTGAATATGTATAAAAATAACAAATGACTTATTTTGCAACAAAAAATATATTAATGACTAAATGCACAGAAAAATATTAAGAACTAAATATTTACAAAATAATACATATATTACCGTCATTTTTTTCCTGAAGTGGTTGGTCATAGGGACTGAATGTATCAGTTAAACAAGTTGAAAGAGACAAATATAGACGAAAAAAACTTAATAACAAAATATACAAATCAAAAAAATATATTAACCGCCATTGTCCATTATCCTAGTTCATTATTATTATTATTATTATTATTATTATTATTATTATTATCATCATAAAGAGTAATATTCTTTAATTTCAATAAGAATCCATTTATGACAAATGGTCATCGATCCAAAAAAAAAAAAAACTTAGCTTGATTTTTGTTGACAACCTTACGAAATTCTCCCAAAAAAGAATTCCTATAATCAGGAGCGTTTAGCGGACGAAATTCTTAAAGCAAGCGGTTTTTATTCGCATATAAATACCAATTTGGTAATGCATTGCATTGCTCTCAAGCTGGTGGCATAAAAAGCGTCCGTGATGTGTTCGATAATATGAAGAGAAGGATGGTTTCTTGGACTGGTTTTTTGGACTGCATTATTATCCGCGTGTATACTTAAATTGGCTTCGCCAAGGAAACTCTGATGCTGTTCCTGGGTATGCACCGAGTTGGTGTCATAGCTAATCAGTTTCTCTACTGGAACGCTTTGACGCCATGTACAAGCTTGAAGTCTCTACATCGTGGGATTCACCAATTTGGAGGAACCATCATCAACCCCATTATCTCAGTTTTTTTAGAGAAGGGTTTCTCGGAGATCACCAATGAGACTGTTGGAAAATCACTACATGCTTTTTGTATAAAGAATTACCTCCGTCTAAGCATATTCCATACAAATACGTTGATCAATATGTACTCAAAACATGGCAAATTCGAAGCCGCTCGCTACGTGTTCGATGAAATGCCTCAGAGAAACGAAGCTACATGGAATACCATGATCTCTGCTTTAGTTCGAGTTTCATTGTACTCAGACGCCTTTCTTTTGTTAAGTCAAATGCGTGCTCAAGGATTTGAGACAAGTGGCTTCGTTATTGCTAGTTTATTAACCGGATGCACTGGTTCAGGCTTTATGCTACATCACGGATTTCAAATCCATGGTTTAATTCTGAAAAACGGTTTATTATATAATGTGTATGCAGGAACAGCCCTTCTAAACTTTTATACTTCATATGGATTCCATTCCAGTGCTCATAGTCTCTTTGACAAGATGCCAGAAAAGAACGTGGTATCTTGGACTTCATTGATGGTTGGCTACTCTGATAATGGAAATCCCATGGAGGTCATAAACTTATACCACAAAATGAAGCATGAAGATGTCAAATGTAACCAGAACACATTCACCACTGTGATTACTTCTTGTGGGTGTTTGGAAAACGAGTCATTGGGTCTTCAAGTTCTTGGACATGTCATAAAATGTGGATTCGAATATGATCTTTCAGTGTCCAATTCTCTTATATCCATGTTTGGTAATATTGGTAGCATACAAGACGCCTGCTATGTGTTCAATCAAATGATTACACGTGACACTATTTCATGGAATTCCATGATTTCTGCATATGCACGCAATCATTCATTCAAAGATTCCTTTCAATGCTTTAAGTTCATGCGTCATCTCCGTGAAGATCTTGATCCAATTACACTTTCTGCACTGTTATCAGTATGTAGCTCCATGGACAATCTCCTCTATGGTGCTGCTGTTCATGGTTTGGTCCACAAACTAGGGTTTGATATAAACTTATCTCTATGCAATACCCTTTTGCTTTTTTATTCAGAAACCGGAAAGCTCAAGGACATGGTAAAGTTATTTGAAGAGATGCCAGATAAGGATTTAATCTCATGGAATACAATAATATCTGGTTATATTCAAGAAGGGGTGCACCTTGATGCCTTGAAAGTGTTTGTTAAAATGCTTCAGAGACAAAGACCTGTAAATCATGTGACTTTTTCTAGCGCATTATCTGCTTGTTCAAGCCATAAATTTTTAGCAGAAGCCCGAATCCTTCATGCACTTGTATTCACATCTGGTTTCCATGGAAACCTAATTGTTGGAAATGCTTTAGTCACAATGTATGGAAAGCAAAAGATGATGTGGCAAGCTGAAAAAGTCTTTGAAAGAATGCCCGAAAAAGACTTGGTGACGTGGAACACTCTGATTGGAGGATACACCGAATGTGAACAACCAAATCAAACAATCAAAGCTTTTAACTTTATGAGAAAACAAAACGAACCCATTAACTACATAACCTTGATTCAAGTTCTTAGTTCTTGTGTTACCCCAAATCAACTTTTCAGCCATGGGAAACCGTTACATGGGTATGTGATTCTTTCTGGTTTTGATTCGGATGATTATGTGAAAAATTCCCTTATTACAATGTATGGAAAGTGTAATGATTTGGATTCAAGTACACGTATTTTTAATGGATTTGTTAACAAAGATTTCGTTTCTTGGAATGCGTTTCTTGCTGCAAATGCTCATGGACATGGAGAAGACGTTTTAAAAAGATTCTCAGAGATGAAGAAAAATGGAATCCATTTGGATCAGTTTACTTTCTCTTCGGCTCTTTCTGCTGCTTCTAACTTGTCTGCTCTTGAAGAAGGTCAACAGATTCACGGTTTGACTTTTAAATCCGGGTTTGACTCGCATCAATATGTTACGACAGCTGTCACGGATATGTATGGAAAATGTGGCGAGATTAATGAAGTGATGGAAATGCTTCCGGAAGCAAAGATTCGAGCAATAGTGTTATGGAATATTCTAATATCATCATTTGCAAGACAAGGATTGTTTCAGGAAGCAATTGAAGCTTTTCATGAAATGGTGAAAATGGGATTTAAGCCTGATCATGTCACTTTTGTTTCTTTGTTATCAGCATGTAGTCATGGAGGTTTAGTGAACGAAGGTCTTGAATATTATTCCTTAATGACAACGAAATTTGGAGTTCCTATTGGTATAGAACATTGTGTTTGTATAATCGATCTTCTTGGAAGATCCGGGAAGCTTCTAGAAGCTGAAAATTTCATCAAGAAAATGCCGGTCCCACCAAATGACTTTGTGTGGCGAAGCTTGTTAGCTGCTTGTAGAATCCATGGAAATTTAGAATTGGGAAAACAAGCGTTAAAACATCTTCTTGAATCAAATCCATTAGATGATTCGGCTTTTGTTCTTTACTCAAATGTATGTGCAAGTATTGGGAAATGGGACTTTGTTCATGATGTTAGATCAGAAATGGAATTTGGAAATGTTAAGAAGAAACCCGCGTGTAGTTGGATTAAGATGAAAAGAAAGGTGAGTTCTTTTGCGATAGGGGATAAATCGCACCCTGAAAGTGGAAAGATATATGGAAAACTAGATGAGATTAAGAAAATGGTTAAAGAAAGTGGTTATGTTTGTGATATGAAGTTTGCATTGCAAGATATTGATGAAGAACAAAAGGAGGATCAATTATGGAAGCATAGTGAGAGGTTGGCACTTGCATATGGATTGATTAGTACGCCGGAAGGTTCGGATTTGCAGATATTTAAGAATCTTCGTGTTTGTGGTGATTGTCATGAGGTGTTTAAGTTTGTAAGTGAGATTGTGAGGCGGAAAATTATACTTAGAGATCCTTTTAGGTTTCATCATTTTAGAGATGGGAAGTGTTCTTGTGGTGACTATTGGTAGTAAATTGTGTTCAAAATATTATAAATTATCGTTCACAAATGTGAAATATATCAAAATGTTGACAGAATCTGGGATCTCGATGTTGGGAATAATGGCCATTGTAAGGTATTCATCTGGTTATCCCTTGATGCCCAAGAAAAATATGCAGCAGGAGAAACATGAGAAACAAAGGAATAATAAGGAGAGACTTGCTAACCAAAGAATTTATTGTTGGAAATCTCAACTTGAATTTACCAAAACATAGTCCTTATTTATACTAATCATAACTGAACTCTAAACAAACGTAAAAACTTAATAAAAGGAATGTTTCCTAAAATACCCGTGGTACTAAATCCGTCCCAAAATTCCAAATTAATCCTACAACCATTATGTATTAGATGAACATGTAAGATTTTTCTCAAAGACACACACACATGCATTGTATCGAGATTTGTGACTTATGTTATGTCAAAATGTGTAAATTCATAATATGGTTTAACTTAGACATTTAATGTACTTCATTTAATCAGATTTGACACGCACATACGGGTCATGTCGTACCTAACACGGCCGTGTCTCACCATTTTTGTGCCAAAACTAATCACATGTTTAGGTACTTTGTGAAACTTACGTGACCCCATAAGGTCATCACACGACCCCGAAATCCTCATTTTGCTTATTTAAGCAATGTACTTCATCTTCCAATTTCCAATGGCTATAACTGCTTCATACTGACTCAGATGTTTTTATATAATTGTATTCATGGACTCTTATTAGAGTCGCAACTTTCGTATAGGTTATTTTTTCTAAAAAACTCCACATTGATACTTCCATTTCCAAAATCTAGAGCGAGGTACACTTCTGTCGTCGAAGGAAAGAAAAGACTGAAACCACCAATTCGATATCCCGATTTCAGCTTCCCGTTTCCGTTTCAGTTTTCCATCTCAAACTGAAGAAGACTAAAAGATTTAACAATCGGGTCGCTGGAGAAAATTAAAAAATTAAAGAATTAACAGTAGATATATGGTTTGTTAATTGGCCAGTTTCCCAAAAACCTTGTGCACTTGGTCCAATTTCAAGACTATAAAATCATTTTGGCAATGATGTTACCAAGGCTCAGATCATATTAATGATAATGTCATCAAACTTGTACCCCTGACATGCAATACTTGTATACGATGCATCAATATGATTAGTTATATCGATGAAATACCCTGATAACTATCATTTATAATCATTTAGACCTATGATGACGTACATTGTCTCACCAACTTACTCGGTCTCATCATTTTCCATAGCTAAAAGTTTTGCAACTTAATTTGTATGAATAAATAAATCCTATAATATTTTGGAGATGTTGTTCGGAAATTATGCAAAAATGTATTTCTAGAGTGCTTAGAAATTATAATTATGATTACAAAGGAAAAAAGAAAACAAACAAAAATGTAGAAAACATTAAAGAGTAAATTACTGAAATGTCTTGTGATTTGGTCAATATTACGTTTTTGGTCCTTAAATCCAACTGGTATTTTTCTTTCAACGTTTTTCGTTTTTAGTTATGTCTGTAGTAAAATACTATTTTCCCCTTACTAAATATTATTAAATATTCATTTATTGTTTATTTACCCCAAACATAAATAAAAACCTAAAGATAGTTGGGGCTGGCTTTGACACGTTTTTTCTCAAAACATATTCACTCAATTTTCTATGATTCTCATTTCTCTGATACAACTGCCGGAAAATGTTGTGACGTATTTATACCAAACTTGCCTTTTAAGTTTTTATGTTTTGGGATTTGATAAAAAATTTAAGAATTATCATTGAAGGGCATCAACTGTTCTTCTCATTCCGTTCCAACTTCGTATTAGATTGTTTATAAATATTACATAGTCACCTGGCTATAAATGTTATAATTACAAAACAAATGGCATTTAAACCGTAGAAGAGTTCTGTAAACTTATAAGAAGAAAAGGATAATATATACAATATGAATAAAATAATTATTCTTTGTTTACATAACCATATCTGTTTTCCACCCAATTTGTGGCTCATCTATGCTCTAGGTTTCCAACACTTCGGAACCTACCCACCACAAGAACACATGACCTCCTGGAAAATATGTTCGTCTTCTAAAGTTAAGGATTATGCGATTTACTGTTAAACCGCCGGTCAAAATGCTATTAAAAAAAATGGTGTTTAGGTACCATTTGGACGAATCGAATATATTGTGGGGTTTGTTTGATAAATGTTGATTGATTGAGTCAAGATTTGATTGGGTTGATTAAGCCATGCCCAAAATCTTCTAATTGTGAATTTGAGACCCAACATTTTCCTCTTACCGGACTCAATAAATGGCATATCAAACAACCCTTACACTTAAAACACTTGGTAAAGAAAAATGTTGTGAAATATTAAGGCAAGAAGCTCTCGTAGCTCAGTTGGTTAGAGCACCCGTTTAGTAAGCGGGAGGTCTTGAGTTCGACTCTCAACGAGAGCAAAATTGTCTCTTTTTTTTAATTCTTATTTTCAAAGCCTTATCTTTTTCCCCACACAACCTGTGGCTCATATATATATGCTCAAGAATTGAATTGAATGATAATTAAGACATAAACAAACATTCTTAAATACCTGCAGAGCCTCAAAACATATGCAAGAGTCAGCATCCTTACGTTTCTTTTGAAGTGACAATGCTAAGTTTCATTTCACAGTAAGCATAAAGTGTCATATGAAGCTAAAAATTAAAAACCATGAAACAAATGCATCCATATCATCTAATTACTTATTATAAAAAAAATGTTGTATCCCAAATAGTAAAGCAAGAAGCTCTCATAGCTCAGTTGGTTAGAGCACCCGTTTAGTAAGCGGGAGGTCTTGAGTTCGACTCTCAATGAGAGCAAATTGTCTTTTTTTCTTTTCTTTTCTTTTCTTTTTTCAAAACCATATACTATATATTTTTTATCACCAGATACTTCTTTCACATGAACATATGGCCATTATTACTGAGGAGACGAAAGAAGAAGATGAAGGAAGAAGATAAAAACAGGGAAGAACATACTAACAAATACCTTATTTAAGTCCACATAGGAAATCTTGAAAAGAGAACACAAGGAAAAGACCAAAATGCCCTAGTGTGCAAGGCACGTCCAAGCCAAAACGTTATGAAACGGTGAAATACAGGACCAAAAGGAAGAAAAGTTTCCTTTTTGGACCAAAACCATAAATTAAATAAAGCACAGGAACCAAATGTAATTTACTCCATATCTAATTACTAGAAAAATTGTTGTAATATAGTAAAGCAAAAAGCTCTCGTAGCTCAGTTGGTTAGAGCACCCGTTTAGTAAGCGGGAGGTCTTGAGTTCGACTCTCAACGAGAGCAAATTGTCTTTTTTTTTTTTTTACAAAACCTTATCAATTTCCCATACAACCTGTGGCTCATATTTGCTCAAGATTACAACACTTTTGAACCCATTATACAACCACAAGAACATTAGACATCAACGAGAATGGTGAAACCCAAAAGGACCTCAGTATGAGTTTTCACATTCTAAGTTGCTACTGAACTTGAAAACCAAATGATAATCACCACTTAATACAAAGAACCTTGAATTCTTGCAACTAAAATGGTGGAACCTAAAAAGATATCATCTAAAGCTAGAGCTACAAAACCATGGAACACTTGTACCAAATCTAATTAATATTTAATAGAATGAATGTTGTGAAATAGTAAGGCAAGAAGCTCTCGTAGCTCAGTTGGTTAGAGCACCCGTTTAGTAAGCGGGAGGTCTTGAGTTCGACTCTCAACGAGAGCAAATTGTCTTTTTTTTTTTTTTTTTTTGCTTTTTCTTTTTTTACAAAACCATATGTGGTTTACAACACAATCGGTAGCTCATATATGCTTAAACTTCTAAAACATTTGACCATGGCTTCCTAATGGTTGTAATGTTTGAGGATAGGACTTAAGTGGATTCATTTAAAGCATTCGATTCAGGAAGATGTTAAAATCCATGTAATTGCCATATGGTGGAGCAAGTGTCTACTTGATGAAAGATTTGGTCTCAAAACATAAAAGTGGTCCATTTTACAGAATTCAATCAGCAGCATTACCCTAGAGCCAAAAGGGGTTCTAGGTTACCTATGGATATAATCAAATATATTAACTATTAAGATTTAAGATGCCTACTTAATCATAGCAATAAAAACATGTTTGAACAACAAGCACATATACATACTCTTGTAATCACATCAATTACAATGATATAACTGATATGGTCAAGAGATGATATCTGAATTGTAAATCTTCTTAGTTTCCATCATCTACACAATAATATATTTAGTTTGAAAGTGTTCATAGGTGGAATATACAGCTCTACATCCAACTAAGATATGCAATCAAAAGGAAAATTCTCGATCAAAAACCAACCCTAAATCCTTAACCAACAATAAACCCTAAATCCAGGACTATATGAAAAATAGTGATCAGTGATAAACCCTAAATTCAAAACTGAACAACTGGGAGATGGTGGCCGACAAATATAGCAGAAAACTTTGGATCGAAAATGCTTGAAAGATGCGCGATCGGTTCCTCTAAGTAAATAAATTGTATATGCATTCAAACATTACATACCTGTGGATCAAATCAAGATTTCATGTGAAGTAAAATTGTATGAACGATCAGCGTAGTGTTTCTGAATCAGAATTGCTTGGATCAAGAGATTTGTAATTCATAGAAAAAGTAGGGAGACAATTTCCTTGTGGCGTTGGAGGGAAAAAGCAACAGGGGACGAACCGACGAAGTATTGTTGTTTAAATATTATTTTCTTTTTCCATAAAGCTAATTGGTAACAGGAAACCTTCTTGGTCTTTACACTTGAATCATTCCCAATGTCTTAATCCACCATTACACAGTTTTTGAAAGGAATAATAAAAATAATCATAAAGTTTAATTTATTTTAAAAAAATAACATATTTCTCTTTGAATACTATATTCTGAAATAATAATGTTGGTTTTGAAGTCTGTGAGA